ACCTGGGGCCGGTTGTTCAAAGCTGGGTTAGCTTAACCCTAGATTAACCTAAAATTCAAAGCAAACTTTCTGACAGCTTGTCAATAAATTTGGAAATATTTCTTCAGAGATCTTGACAGGATTGATAGGAGTTTACTTCTCTGAAGTTTTGAAATCAACAGACGTGCAGAAATACACAAACCAAAACAGTGGGTTAAATTTTAACCCAGGGTTAGCGCTAACCCACCTTTGAACAACCGGCCCAGCTGACGTGTAAAAATTATAATAGAGCTTTTCCCGATTGCTTTCCACTGTCATACTAAGTTTGCGAAGGACGGGGGGAGTCTGGGGGTCCTCCCCCAGAAAATGTTTACATTTTCGAAGCTCCAGGACTGCATTTCTGGCGTTTTCGGCTAAAGCAAATTCGCAAACGAATTGGATCTAAATTGACTGTATTTTACAAAAATGGTTATCATTTCACAAAAAGAACGACTTTATTACGCAAATTTTACCTGAAAATGTCAAAATTTAAACTTGAATTTTACCAGATTTTTACCTGAGTTTCACAGTTGGGGGTGGTTTACAACCCCCCCCCCCCCGGTCGCTACGTCCCTGCTCAAACCATTTCATGACCTGCATTAAAATGCTGCAGCTCGTCAAGAGTTATTTAAGTGTCCATCCGAGGGTTGAAACTATTAAGGCTGCAGTCCAGTTACGCGTTTTTTCATACGCTGATATACGTATACGCATGGAAAAGTTCAACAAACGCACATTAAATCATTATCATAATACAAAAAACTAAATGCGGTCTTTATTCATTTATTTATTTCATAAGTAACATTTTAAAGGGATTTCAACTATTCCTAACCTGAGTATCAGGCCGTACTTTTTAGGGCACAGGCACGCCTGATCGCGGGTTTAGGGGAGAAAAGTACGGCCTGACACAAAAGCGGCATTTTGCCTGGTTATTCAGTCCAGACTCTGGACTGAGCGCTGATTGGCCGATTAGACAAACGATTTTTTAAATCTGTCATTTGATTGGCTGGTGCTAATTAGATTATACTATTGTTGTTGATATATTTTATAACGATCACAACTACAATTATAGCCGGCCCACTAAACGGCATGTTGTAAAAGACGGACTGGACTGGACCGGACTGGACCGGGAAAACGCGGACTGAGACCGTGTTTTACAAATCGCGGTCTGAATTTGTAAAACACGGACTGGACTGGACCGGGAAAACACGGACTGAGTCCGTGTTTTACAAATCGCGAACTAAGATTTGTAAAACGCGGACTGAGTCCGTGTTTTACAAATCGCGGGCTGCAATTTGTAAAAGGCGGACT